GGGCCAGGACGCCGGGCGGGACCCGGGGCAGGCGGGCCACTTACAGCTTCTCCTCCTCCCGCCGCCGCCGCTTCTCCTCCTCCACCTTCTGCTTGCGCAGCTGCTCAGCCTCCTCCTTCCGCCGCAGGCTCTCCAGGCGCTGCCTCTCCTTCTCCTGGGATAGAGGGCGACAAACGACCTCGCGGGCTGCCGGGCGCAGGTACCAGCTCGCCGTTCAGGACAGGGACACCCACCCCACGGGCTCGCCTCCGCCAGGCACAGGACCCAAGGTTCCGCTCTAACAAAACCAGGCACAAACCAACGTGTGCAGTGCAGCCAGCAGCTCGCTGAGCTGAGGAACAAGCACGGCTGAGGCTCAAGAAGGCGCAGGCGGCCGGGCTCTAGGGCAGGGGCAGCCCAGAGCACCGCCTGCGAGCCCCTTCACCACCCACACTTCATGTCACCCGCTCTTCTGCGTGCACCAACGATTTTATCATGGTTGAAAAAAAATAAGACACTGCTGAACGCTACAGAAGACTACTACAGGCCGGGGACAGGTGAAGGACTGCAGTCTCCCGTTACTTCCCACACTTCTGGGACAGGGCCGCAGTACACAGAAGGCACTGTGTGGAGGGGACAGAGCCTCAAGCCCTGCCAGGATCCATGGGCAGAAACCCACTGCAGCCACAGACAGCGGTGAGGACCCGCAGCCCCGCCGCATGCACAGGGACCCCCGAAACCCTGCTGGACCCCGGCTTGCAGGGAGAGAGAGGATTGACAGGGGAGGCAGCTGCCGCTGGACCATCGGAGACTCCAGGGTGGCTGTTACGGAGATGCCCCACGGAGTCCTCAGAGACACCGGGCCAAGTGGAAAATGGGGAGCTCTTGGCGAAGAAACAAAGAACCAAATGGGAACTTCAGAAGAAACAAAGTTCACAACTCGACGGACAGGCGCAGGAGCACGGCGGAAAGGACGATGGGTGAGGCCACCTGAAGATGCGCAAGCGAGCGCCACACAGGAGAGAAATCGTGGAGGGAAAGTCCCCGGGGACCGGAGACAATGCCGAGAGGGTCCACTCTTCCCTCGGCACCTTGAAAGACAGCAAGAGAACGCCTGGCCAGCTGGGGAGACAGACAGCTAACAACGCCGAGGGCAGGGACAGACGGACGGAGCGGAGCCCCAGAAATCCACGCTGGGAACTTGAGACAAACGGAAAACACCAGCAGCGGTCAGAGTAAAGGCTGCGTTATCTACGGGGACAGCGCTCGGAACAGATGAAGACCTCTCCTCGGGAGACGGCACTGTGCGGAAAGAAAAACTCCACCTGCAGCTTTCCTCCCGCGGCAAGAACGCAGCAGCACCCTCAGGGAGGAGACCAGAGAGCCCTTCGCCCAGAAGCAGAGGTCCTGCGGTGGCGGAGGGGGCACCAGAGGGAGGCAGCCACGCACCGGGTGGACAGCGCTTCCTCTCTGCTCTCCCACGTGCCCAGCGGGTGAAGCAGAAAGCACCACGTCCTAAGGGGCAGTCACACCGGGAGCCGCTGCCGGGCGACGTCGCTGGCTACCCGCCTGCTGAGGCTCACAGACCCCAGGAGCCAGGGCAGAGGAGGCTGCTGTACATGGCAGCAGCAGCAGCACAGGTGCCCAGTGAGGGGGCCCTGGCCTGCGGCTGGTGAACGGGCACAGCCACACCCTCGGTGCCCCACACCCTGCAAGGCTCCCGCCTCGAACCAGGGCCCCTGGGCACAGTGAGCAGGGAGGGGAGGGCGTTACTCACGACAAAGCTGCACTGTGGGAGGAGACAGAAGCCCTGAGTCAGTGCCTGGCAGGGCGCCCCAGCCCGCACCCGGCAGAGCCTCCAGCTGCTCCAGACGGGCTGTGCCCGACCCACCCTCACCTTGGGGTCCACGCGCAGCGGGGTGTTGCGCTTGATGAAGGACTTCAGGACGGTGGCTCGCGGGGCGGAGCTGGGAGTCATGAGCAGCTGGTTCCGCTGCACCGTATGCAGGAAGGTCCGCAGTGGCCGCACCACCTGTGGGAGGCAGGGCCAGGGTCGGCGGGGCTGGGGCCAGTGCTGGGGGGTGCGCAGGTACCACTACTCACCTTGCTGGCAGGGCAGGGCGGGGAGGGCGTCTTGTTCCTGAGGGGCTGCAGCTCCTCGTCAGCCAGGGAAGGCTCCTCCTCTGGGTCGCTCATGGCCCGCTTGTAGCTGCGCTTCCTCCTGTCCGCCGGGCAGCGTCAGGGTGGCTGGGGCCGGCTGGGGCCTCCCAGGGCCCCACGTCCCATACAAGGTCACCTGAGATGGGAAGGGATTGCCCCCCGCCACCCACTTGGACAGAGGAGTGGACTCAGAGGGACTGGGCTGGCAACTCCCATGTCCATCCCCGCAGGATCAGGGCAGGCACACACCTGACGCTCTGGGGCGGCTCCTGGTGTCCCTCAGAGTCGTCAGCTGTGACCCCTGAGAAGACAGTGACCCAGGTGGGGAGTGGGACCCAACAGTGCTGGGTTAAGGGGCTGCAGATCCCACAGCGGGCAGCGGTCCCTTGCTGGGCTCAGCACCACCTGTCCCGGAGGGACCTACGCATGCACCTGGGGCCGGGCACCCCTCGCCTGCACCTGGCGTCTGAAGCAGGAGGCTCCCCTCAGAGCCCAGCTTACACCACCCAGGCTGAGCCCAGACACAGAAGGCCCCACAGCTGCAAACCCACGCATGCTGCCTCAGTTGGGTCACCAAGGTCCCAGGCCCCTGTGAACACCATGTGGCTGGTGGTAGCTCTCAGGGCAACAGCGTCCACCTGCCCTGGACACAGCGCAGACCAGCATGGGCCCACAACACAGAAAGGAACACAGGAGACCCTGCCCCAGCTCCAGGACACCACAGCCATAGACCCAGGCCCAAGATTCCATTCCCCTCTGGGCTTCCCCAAACAGGCAGGCCAGGCCAAGAACCACAGCCTGCAGGGCAGGAGACTCACCCTGCTGCCCTTCAGGGGGCATCTCCTGACCACCAGGGGCTGGCTGAGAATCTGGAGTGTGGATGGTGGTCTGGGCAGCACTGTGGGCCAGCAAGGGGTTCCCGCTGCTCCCAGGATCCTGTGGGAGGAGCCGAGGCATGGGCGCTGCACAGGGCCTGGGCTGGGATGCAGTGCAGGACCCCCCCCCCACCTCCACCTTACCTCAGGCTCAGCTGCTGCCACCATGGGCTCAGCCTCCCTGCTGGGCTCTTCCTGCCTGGGGCTGAAAGCACAGTGGGTACTGTGGGACCCCAGCCCTGGGAGGGGGACAGCGCCCTCACCTCTGTCACCCCCACCAGTTTCAGCTAGGGAGGGAGCTGATGCAGCTCAGACCATCCCAGGCTGTCTGCAGAGGACAAGGCTGCTTCCTCTGAACGCTTCCAGCGGGAGGGGCCGGGATGTTCGAGGGACAATGGGGTACCCTTGGGGACAGTGGGTCTCGGCCACTACCCCTACACCCTGCTGTGATCACCCACTGCCACAGGGCCAAGCCTCAGGCCAACTGCAGCAAACCGGGTGTGTGGTACAGTAACGGAGAGCTGCCAACAGGCCTGGCCCACCCCACCCAGGCCCAATCACCCACATGCCCATCCCGGAGCAAGAGCAAGGTGCCGGCTACTTCAGTGACAGCAGGAAGTGGCCTCCAGGAACAGAGCCAGTGTCCCAAGTGGCGGAGCATCCCAGTCCCAGGCCACCCCATGTGCAGATGGCCCTTCAAGGCCACTCAGCCCATCCACACCCCAGCCCACTCTGGGGTGCGGCCTGACACCATGATGCCCGCTGCCTAGCTGGATGAGGCAGACGGAGGGCATCCAGGAGAGGTGGGAAAGCTTCCGCCTGGTGCCCTGCCTGGCCGCAGGAGGCGCCCAGCCCTGGGACTGCACGCACCCAACTCTCTGGGGCACCTCGACATTCAGGAGTCTCTCCAGGTAGCTGTGACCTGTAGAAGTGGAACAGAAGATGCTGCTGGCAACTGGCCAGGACCCCCAGGAGGCCCAGGAAACCAGCCTCCCACCGGACAGACAGAGGCCAAGCCTCAGCCCACCAGCAGCCTCCATGACCCCAAGCTAAAGGCCCAGGCTACAGTTAAGTGTTACCCCTTACAGATCACCTCAATCGCCGCTGTGGCCGCTAAGCTCCCCGAGGCGACCTGGGGTCCCGGCACCCCACTTCTCTTCCTGTCTCCAGTGCCCACTCTCACCCTGAGGTGCTGCCCACCAAGGGCCTCAGGGCCATGGACTGACACCTCCAGAACCGTAAGCCAAAAAACTTTTCTTCTGTTAAAGGGTCCAGCTCCCACCCTGTATCACAGCAACAGAAAACTACCACATGGCTTTTCTTGGGTCTACTGGCTGGGCATGGTGGGCACGCCTGTCATCCCAACACTCGAGAGGCTGAGGCAGGAGGATCTATCTCTTCAAGATCAAGATCAGACTGAACTGTGTAGTGAGACCTTGTTTCAAAGAAAAAAGAAGTGGGTATCTGGAAGTTCTTAAAATGAAGTGAGGACCGGGGATTTAGTTTGGTGGCACTGCGCCTGCCTTGCAAGTGCAAAGTCCTGAGTTCGATTCCCAGTACCCAAAAAAAAAAGAGTGAAGTGAGCCTGTCACTTAAAACAACACATTTGTTGAGAATACAAAAACTGAGCCAGAAAAAGCAAGCACTGGAATTCTGAGAAGCATGTAGTCATCTCAGAAGCTTCATTTCCCAGTACCTGCAGACGACTCTGACGGCCCGGGAGAGCAGCTGTGTGCCCACAGTGCCAGTGCCACGCAGGAACTACCCACCCTCGCCCTTCAGACCCAGCACAACTCTGGATGGAGCAGGCAGAGCCTGCCGTCCTCCCCAGTGTAGTGCAGCACTGGAGTGGGGACAGCCTGACTGCCAGACAGATGAGCGAGGCTCAGCCCTGCCCCCCACAAGGCTCTGCCAGCGCCTCCTCTCAGCAGGGACCCCAGCAAGTGCACGGCGTCTGCACGACACACGAGGGTGTCCGTTTTTGTTTACAGACATCTCACGGTGCTAGGCCACGCCAACCACCATTCACCGCACTAACTCAAGCCTGGCCCACCTGGCCACCCGGCCTCCCAACGATGCCAGGGCCACGTTCCCGCCATGCCCACGGCCCATGCTCCTCACGTGACACAAGCTGACACCCTGTCCCGTGTGCCTAGAGCTCAAGGCTCTGAGCAGCTGCCCTGTGCCAGGCACACCAGGCCCATGTTTGTCCTGCTCGCCTCTGCGCCTCGTAACACTGCTTCCCGGGGTGACAGAGCATCCAGGTTCCAACCTGACACCCGGGAGGGCCAGGTGACGCCACCAATGCACAGCCGCAGACGGGAGCCCAGGCGGGGCTCGGTGCACCACCCAGGCCGTTTCTGGACCAGGGGCATCCCTAGGGGATGCTGCACACAACACGGGCCCCAGGGCCTCAGTCTCCCCATCGTGCAGCGTGCCGGCCCCGGGCTCAGGGTGGCCGTGGGCACCTGCTCCGTCACGCTGGCCGTGCTGGAGGGCAGCGCGGTTAGACACGGCCACTTCCTGCCAAGCGAGGGGGAGCCCCTTGCTGCCCAGCCCCACTCACAGATGATACGGGCGGAGGCGGCGGGCACAGGGGGCATGTTCTTGTCAATCCTCTTGCTGGACCTGCGGCAGGTGCCTTCTTGCTTGGCCACCACGGAACACTTCTGCGCCAGCAAGGCCCGGGGACCCGGGGCAATGAGGCTGCG